GGACTCTCAACCACTGCGCCACCAGGGAAGCCCCCAGGCATTTTTATTTTTGCATATTGCAGTTTCAGTTTTCCCTGGGTACACACATGTTTCACACACAGTTATAGCACTTCTCCCCAGAGCCCTGCTGTCTCATCGTTGGTTCAGACTAAGTTGTAGCAGGCTTTTTCCATTTCACCAAAGTCATGTAAGCTAACAGGCAGAATTTTCATGACTTTCAGCTTTTCTTCCATTGATTTTCCTTAAACACTTGGTACCAGCCTGCTCAGGCCTGCCTGGGAAGCGAGGAGAGAGCTGGGTGTGTGTGTCAGTACTTTGGGGGTTCCACAGAGAGCCCTGGGTCTCAGGCCCGTGCAGCCAAAGGCCTGTGGGTACTGTCGTGGTGCATTTTGGGTCCCTCAGACCAGGACGTGGGGAGCAGGGACATTCTTTAATACCCCCAGTGCCAGGGAAGTATTGTCACTCTTGGTTTTGATTGGCACAAAAACTGTAGCTCAGAGATGTCGGGGGACTTGCCCAAGGTCCCCTCAGCAGTGGGCAGGTGGCCTCCAGGTGGCTTTACCTCTTCGTTGCTGTGTGGGCACAGAGTGGGAGGCTGGGAGTTGTGACACCTTCTGCATTTGCCCGGGTGTTCACTGCACAGGGGTACCCAGATGAGCAGACTAGTGGGGCTGAAATTCAGCCCATGCTCCGTCCGCTAGGGGTGTCCTGGCCCGGGCCGTATCCTCCCAAGGAAGGGGTGCCTTCTGCTAATTCGCACCAAGGCACCCCGTGGGCTCTGCTTCCTCACCCCTGGCTCCCTGCCTTGACGCAGACTCAGCTTCAAGAGGAATGGAGCCGCTGGTCTCCCTGCAGTGGGAGCTGCGGCAGCGGCAGCCAGCAGAGGACTCGGCCCTGTGGCTACACCTGCACTGCCACTGAGTCCCGTGCCTGCGACCTGCCCCCCTGTCCTGGTGAGATGAGCCGCAGCTCCTGCAGATGGAGCGGCTTACACGCTGAACTTGGTCCCCTGGGAATGTGGGCATGTAAGCCTTGTATAGGGTGGGCTTGGGAGAGGGGAGGCAGGAAGCTCACACACACGGTGGTCCTGCCCCGTGCCAGGCCTGTCCCAGATGCCACGGGCACCGAGAGCCTAGTGAGGGCTGGGCTCCCATCGGGAGCACAGAGGTGCCCTGCGGCACCACCAGCCTGGCCTCCTCTCTTCCCAAAGGCGCTGAGGACAAGGACTCCTTGGGCTTCCCCAGTGAGGGGTGGCGGCCCCTGGCCCACAATTCTACGGACTTGCTCAGCCCAGGTCAGTGCGGGGCTAGGCCCTGCCCCTGGGGGTTTGGGGGAAACCTCTCTTGGGAAGGTGGAGCCTCACTGCGCGGGCAGGAATCTTGCCTCCATCCACTGAGGCAGAGGGTACATCTTCCAGGTGGAAGGTTAGCCTCCCCAGCAAGGGGACCGTAACATTTCCAAACCCCCTAGCCAGGTCCATTGGCCTTTCCCAGCCTGATATTCCTTCTGGGAAGAAGGTCTTGAGGGGAGCCCAGAGCTTGGAGACCATCTAGTGGGGCGTACGCTCCCTGGCAGCAGGATAGGATGGGGACATTCTAGCTTCCACTCCCTGGTCACTCTTGGAGGCTCCTGGCAGGCTCTGTCTGGGGAGCAGTTGCCCTCAAAAACAGGTCAGGGTCCAGAGCTCCAGGACTGCCCCTTCCAGCAGCTTGGAGCGGGCCGCGCTTTCCCCAGCACACTCCACACCTGTGTCTCTTGCACCCCACAAGGAGGCAGGCAGCTGCCCACAGCCCCCTTGCAGATGGGTCCTATGCTCAACGCCACAGAAGCTCACTGAGCCGGGAGGGTGCACCCGGCCCTGTGTGGGGCAGGGGATTCCCAGAAGACCAAGCCCAGTCCCTGCCCTCAAGGGGCTCAGGTCTTCGGGGGAAAGACACACACAACCAACTTAGGTACAGCACTGCCAAGTGGGCCCAAGGGTCTGCAGCAAAGAGGGAGGAGCAGTTTGTTCTGGGTGGCCAGGGTCAGAGGCCACATTTTCCAAGGTAGGGAGAGGGGGGGAGGGCAGCATAGACAGAGGGGTCGCAGGGGGCCCAGAAAGACAGAGTGAGCCTAAGAAAGGCAAAGTTAAGAACAAGAATGGGCCAGTGGTGAAAACTGTGAAACATTTTCTTACCAAGAGGCTAAAACTGCTGTCCCTGCCCCCACCCGCCCCAGCTCATTCCCCACGATCCCAGGATCTTTCCCGCCATCCAGCATCTAAAGGGACAAGGCCTAGCTCCGCAGAGGGCCTGTAGGCCCCTCCTCCAGCCCCTTGGCCGATGTCCATTCAGCTACGGCCTGTTGCTTCAGCTTACCTGAGTGGTGTGTGGTTGCCCTTATCTGTTAACAGCGGCGGCCACGTCAGACTGCCCCCCGCTCTGGTGTGGGTCCTTCCCCTCCTGCCCCTACGGCCCTACCAAGCCACAGCTTTGCACCAGCTGGGGCCTAGGCGTTCCCCCTCCGTGCATTGGCCCTTGACCAGTCCCCCCCACCCCAGGGGCTGACCGGTCCCTTTCCCACGCTCCCCTGCCCTCTGCAGATGTGGACAGCTGTGAGAAGTGGCTGAACTGCAAGAGTGACTTCCTAGCCAAGTACCTGAGCCAGGTGATGCGGGACCTGCCCAGCTGCCCGTGTGCGTACCCGCTGGAGGCCGTGTCCAGCGCTGTGAGCCTGCAGGACGAGCACCAGGGCCGCAGCTTCCGGTGGAGGGACGCCAGCGGCCCACGTGAGCGCCTGGACGTGTACCAGCCCACGGCCCGCTTCTGCCTGCGCTCTCTGCTGTCCGGGGAGAGCAGCACACTGGCCGCCCAGCACTGCTGCTACGACGCGGGCAGCCGGCTGCTGACCCGAGGCAAGGGCGCCGGCGCGCCCGACCTCGTCAGCACCGACTTCTCGCCCGAGCTGCACTTCAAGGTGGACACGCTGCCCTGGATCCTGTGTAAGGGGGACTGGAGCCGCTACCACGCTGTGCGGCCCCCGAACAATGGCCGGGCCTGCACGGACAACCCCCCCGAGGAGGAATACCTGGCGCAGTTGCAGGAGGCCAAGGAGTTCTAATGAGGGCTGCTGTGCTGGAGAACTTTCCTCACGGGCCGCTCACCCTGCCTGGCCCAGACCTGGTGAGGCCAGTCTGGTGCCTCGAGCCCTCTGCCTTTGAACCTGAGGCGGGGAGGTCAGCACCCCAGGTATCGGTGTGGGGTTGGGGAAAAGGTTGAAGAGTGTATAAGGCCCAGGGTGAGAGGAGGGAGCTCAGCTCCCAAGGCCCCCGGGGCTGCCCCGAGATGCGTATCTGTGGCGGCCTTACCTCTTGCCCACTGGGAGGCGCTGTCGCAGCCTGGACACCCATTGTCCTCCCTCTCCCTCTGTGCTCAGGTGTGTGCCCGGCTCTCCACACACCCTGATTCCCGGGACCTGCAGTGAGTCACTTAGAGCCCCAGCCGTGAGGGCCAGTCTCGTCATCCCAGCCCGCGGGCCAGCAGCCAACCAGCCCTGGGCCAGCAGCCCTCCTCAGCGCTGAGCGGTCGCACGTGGCCCACTTGCCCACCCCCGCTGGGAGGGTTAACCTCAGCCCTGAGCAGCCTTTCGTTGGACACCACTTCAGTCTAGGGCTGAAGGCCATCAGTGGGACCGTAAGTGGATAGACAGGCCGTGGCAGCCAAGACAAGGCAGGATCCAGGTGCGGAACAGATCAATGAATGCTGGTCCCTTTCTTTGTCCAGCTCACCTCTGTTCTGTCCAGGTTGTAGGAATGTGTGGGGCTGGGAGATCACAGCGCCCTGAATGAGCACAGCGGCCAGGCCTGGGGTGGGTTCAGAACCAGCCCAGAAGGATGGGTCATGTGCAGGGTGAGCTGGTAAATCAGCTCTCCTGGGGGGTGGCAGGGGGACAGCCTCAATTTGTAGCATTTGGGCAATTTCTGTGGTGTAAACGTTCCCACTGTGGCCCACTTCAGGCTCCCAAGGTGATGTCGCTGAACACACTGAGCTCAGAGTTGGGAAGAGATGCATATGATCAGCTCTCCCAGCACACCTCGTGCCTCTTCCCTGCCTCCCCTCACCCCCCATCTCCCCCTTCCCTCTGCAACCACACTTTCTTGCCTTCTGTGGGGTTGAAATGCTGATATCCCAACTGTCTCTGTTCATAAAAGCCTCCAAAAGTAGGGAACTTCAGTCCTAGCCCCTAGGCAGCTGCCCTGAAACTCTCTGGGAACCTCAGCGATAAAGCACTTTATTTTCAAATTCTGTCTGATGAAGAATTTGGAGCCCCAGCAGAGCAGAGGGGTGTAGGGAGCCCTTGCTTACAGTCCAAGCCAAGCTCCCCTGGACTGCGTTTGTGATTACCTAACCCTGCTGGGCAGCAGAGCTCCGGGGTGCAGAGTTTAGTTTAGATTAAACATCAGTTAGGTAATCTTTACTTGGTTATCTTTACTCAAACTCGTAAAGGGTTACCTAGGAGGCAGGGAAGAGCTAGCAGGACCTTAGGGGCACATTCACTCCAAGTCCTTTGGTCAGATAGATCAATTGCATTTACACCAGAGGAAGTGACCCCACTTCCCCAAGCAACTTGCTGCAAGGGGATCCAATGCAGAGTTGTCCCAAGAGCTACACCTATGAGAGAGCCCTACCTTAGTTGGTACCCTTACCACACACTCCACTGTCACTTCTGGCATTTGGGGAAGTCACATCAGGAAGCAGAATGAGACAAGGTGTGTTCAGAGCCACTACCTGGAGAAACTCAGAAAGCCAGATATTTCCAATTACATCACACCTAGAGGGAGGTTTATTAGTCTGGTCCGGGATCACCGTCTAACAGCACTCTGGTGCAACTAGAATATTACAGGGTCAGAGAGGCCAGGATCTCGGGTCACTAGGTGGTAGCCAAGTTCCCTTCCCTGTCTCTTGTCTGGGGAATTCAATACAATTAGCACAGGAATGTTTCAATTATGTTTTAGCTGAAACTTAAAAAAAATAAATAACAAGATAGAGATATCCCAGAGTCTGTTTTCACAGGAAACGGCTAATTCCCCTCCTTTCTAATATAATTTACCTTGACACTTAAACACACTGTCTAAATTTAATCTATACCTAATGCTTTGTCTATTACCCAGACTGAACTTAACCAGCCCCATTTTTAATCCAAGTGACATGCTAAATTGCTACCACGTCAGGCCACAGGTGAGAGAAACTAAAGAAAAGGGGGCTGAAAAGGAGCCTTGAAGGGGCTGGGGCGTTGATCAGCTATAAAATGGTGTTTATTCAAACTGTACAAAGGAGAAAGAGATGCTGTGCAGGTGGCTGCCAGCTTAGGGAACACCTGTGTGTGAGCAGAAAGAATCACAGAGGGGTCACTGACCCTGTTAAAGGGAGGATTTCAGGAGCCGCTGATATCAGAGCCAGGAGAGGCCCATGAAATCAGAGAGGACCCTCCCCCGCTCTGGTCCAGTGTAGGCCATCCTGGCTCACCTGGCTGTTCTTCCCATCCCGGATACCAGGAGCCATCCGTGGCTACGCATCCAGCACGAACACCACAGCTGTTTCTAACTTAGCTGCCCCAGGCACCTGGATGTTTGTTTTTGCCCCATTTTTCCTCCTCTGGGTTACCTCGTAAAAGGTTCTAGGCTAGGCAAGACTGGTCATGTTGAGAGCTTCCCCGGTGGTGCAGTGGTTAAGAATCCGCCTGCCAATGCAGGGGACATGGGTTCAAGCCCTGGTCCGGGAAGATCCCACATGCCGTGGAGCAGCTAAGCCCGTGTGCCACAACTACTGAGCCTGCACTCTAGAGCCCACAAGCCACAACTACTGAGCCCGTGTGCCACAGCTACTGAAGCCTGTGCACCTGGAGCCTGTGCTCTGCAACAAGGCACCGCAATGAGAAGCCAACACACCGCAACGAAGAGTAGCCCCTACTCGTCGCAACTAGAGAAAGCCAGCATGCAGCAATGAAGACCCAACGCAGCCAAAAATAAATTAAAAAAAAAAAAAAAAGACGGGTCACATTGAATTCTTACTAGGGTTTAAAACAACCAACAGTACAAACCTGCCAGATCCTGCTGGCCTCCCTCGTCTCTTGGAAGACAGGATGTTTCAGATCCTTTGTCTCATTGTTCACAAAAGGGACCCAGATGTGCTTCTTTGGCTCCTCTATTACAATTAGATTTTCTTAACATGTTGAAGTGCTTCTCAAAATCCACCCCTGGTATCAATATCACCTGGGATATTAAAATGTAAGCTCACAGGCCACACCCCACACCCACTAAGAGTATCTAGGGGTGGAGCCCACTTTCCTGCATTTAACAGGTTCCCCTCAGGTGGTTCTTAGTTGAGGAGAACCCTTGGCCTAGGATTTGCAATTTGGCCAATTAGCCAGATTTTCAGAAGATCAATTCCTGCTCAAGGGAAAATGTGTGGGCCTGGGAGCCCAGAAGTCAGCAGGTAACATGCCACCGGGGGCCAGAGCTTCTACGTCCATCTCTAATGCTCTTATAGGTACCTATTATACTACCCATTTTACAGATGAGGAAATTTGTCCAATTTGTTAGGAAGTGACACATTTACAATTCAAACCCAAGGCCAAAGTTCTGTTTTTAGCTCTGTCATTCTGCTTTTTAGGCTCCGATGGCTAACCAAAATGTTATCAGTGAAATGGAAGTGGTGAAAATTGGAACAGCCATCAGTACTGGGGATATGAATGTTACCGAGCTGTCATATAACAGGAACTTTGCCTGGTGCTTTGGTTATTACTAAGACACTTGGAAACTTCACTTCAGATTTTTCCTAGGTATTCTGGAATTGGTAACTCTCCCGCCAGGTGTGAAAGGGGTCCTTTTTTGTCACTGGTCTCTGTGTTAGGAGGGGTCCTTGATTTGCTGTTTTTGTTGATTTTGGCCACGCCGTGCAGCACGTGGGATCTTAGTTCCCTGACCAGGGATAGAACCCATGCCCCCTGCATTGGGAGCACGGAGTCTTAACCACTGGACTGCCAGGGAAGTCCCAAGGGGTCCTTGATTTGATTCAAGCTAGAGCACAGGTAGTTTATCAAAAAGTATCTGTTTGAAGCCCCAGGAAGCAGATATAATGCCGAACTAGATGCAAATTAGCTCAGCCCAGCACTTGTTGATTAATTCAAGCCAAAGAGGATATTGGGGGTCTAAATTAGCCGGATCAGTACTGATTTCCTACTTTAATTACATTTTGGCCAAGTCATGTTGGTTGGATTAGCCTGCAGACCTCACTGCCACCTAATAAAACAGGCAAGGACAGATGAAGGAAATAGCTGTAACTGCAGGAGGTAGTGTCTGGATTAGAGGGTGCTGACTCACACTGAGGTCACCAGGGCAGGGCTTGTCGAGGAAAATGACCCTCCCTGTGAAGGTACAGTCTACCTCTTCCTGCAACGTGGCAATCTGGACCCCACTGGAACCCCTTCGTCAGTGCTCAGTAAACTTGCTTAATGGAACCAGGTATTTAAAAATACTCTATATTCGTTTCTTCCTCTTTCTGGGAGTAACAACAGGCCTGGAATTTCCTATTCCAGGAAGGATGCCTAACATGCTAGAAATGCAGCTGCTTCTTTTCAGGGATGAACGCGACAACAAGGCAGTAGACAGTGGTTTGGACTTGAGCACTGGCTCTGCTGTTATGGTCCTTGTTCCAAATTCCAACTCTGCTAGATTATCTGCTGTAGGGTCTGGGATATGCGTTAAGAAATCCAAGGACTAGGTTCTTGTACAACAGAAGTAATGGCAGTACCTGTTTCACGGGGGCGAAATAAGCTACTGTAAGGGAGGTGCTTAGTGCAGTGTCTGGTACATAGTAACCGCTCAATAAACAGCAGCTCAGTGAACAGAAGCCCAAAGCCCACAGTTCCCCTTGGTCACAGGGTGGGGAGTCTCTTTCTACACCTCAAACCAGCACCTGGTTGATCACCTCTTCTTGGAAGAGGACAAGAGGCCATGCAGAGTGGGAAGCCCAGGATGCCACCTGGACCAGCGATAAAGTTTCTTGGTACCGTTCACCCCAGGGAAACTCCACCCCACGTTTCCCTCAGTGAGGGGAAGAGACCCGTTTTGCCAGTCTGCAGTATGAAAGGACATGGGCTCAGGAATGCCTGCTGGTGAGAAGTAGGCTCTTTTCAGGCCTCTTAATTACATACACTTATGCAGAACGGAGATAAAACCCCTCCGTTGTTTGTTTTTTTGTTCAAAACCTTCAAGGGAACTCTTAATACCAGCCACCCCGTCAACACAGGTTCCAGACATGCACGATTTTTAAATTACGTTTATTTAGCGTATGTACACATAAAAGAGAAATCACCCTCTGTTCCCACCCAGCAGAAAACATGCACAAACTCAAGGTATACATGAAGGGAAGGGGCCCCGGCCCCAAGTTAGTGGTTGGGATGGTGCAATCCTGTAAGTCACAAGCCCCAGTCAGGAGAGGGCTGGACTGAAGTGTTCGGCGGGCTGTACCCTCTGCTGCTGTTCCTAAAATAAGCGTGCGCCGTAGCCAAAGGTCTGTTTGATGCCCTCAAAGTAGTACCGCTGCCAGCCCTGCCGTGTCCTCTCCTCCTCAGGGGCAGGGATGCCTCGGCCTTCCATACACAGCTCAGTCTCTCCATTCTTGTCAATGAAGGTCAAGGTGATGGTGGCAAAGTGCCCTGGGGAAAGGCAAAGGGGAAGGAGGTTTCAGATCCAGGGTTTCCATGTGGGTCTGAGGCTAAGGGAAAAAGAAAAAGTTCTGGGGGCAATGGCAATAAATACATATGCTTGCTTACCTTCTGGCCAAGATTTAAACCTCCACTTCATCACAATATGTTTCTCAGGGATCTAAAATAATCAAAGAGGTCAGCCTATACTACAGACTGCAACGTACCCAGTCCTAGCAAGCATCACCCATCTGCCTTTCATACGGAGCCCATCACCTGCAGCTGCACCCCTGATGGGACAAAGTGGACCAGAGTTGGTAGCTCCTGCACTGGCATCAGCCACAGCCTCTCCTCTTACTCCTAAGTTGTGCCCACGTGAAATTTCAGTGCCACAAACGGAAAGCCGTAAGCCACCAATGTATCTAACCTCTCTTCCATGTTTGATTTTTCCAGGAAGAAGCAATTTTACCCCACTAAAGAAAAATTTATATGAAAGCAAGAGAACTCAATTGTAGCATTCTTTTGAAAAACAAAATGAGGTTTTACTAACCAAAGAGATTACAGCCTTAAATTTTATCTACAGAGCTGAAAAAGAAAAGGAGGAAATGTTATTCTTCTGACCAGACAAAAGCTATATCCTGGCAAGCACGTACTCACCAGATCAGTGAATTCTCCAGAGACGTTGCCATCTACCAGGTGAAACTTGCCACCTTTGTCTGCTTCTAACATTGCAGGAGCATGGGTAAAGGCCTGAACAAGCTGCAGAGCAAAAGGAGGTAAGAAGATGCATGGCTCTCAGTGGGACCCAGAAGTGCCAGCTGACACCTGTATGCCTCAGCTCTCACTTCCAAAGACACTACTCTGCCCAAGAACCAGGTTCAGGCTCTTTTCTGTTCCACTAGAGACCAGGCTTCGACTCAAGTAACTCTTTCTGAACCTCGGATGCCATTATTTCGAATCCATTTACTTTTCTAACGAGAATGATTCCAGTGGTTCCCACTTACATGACCCAAAACTAGCATAAAAGAGAAAAAAGAAGACGAATCCACTTTGATGAGTGGGTTGAACAAAAGTGTCTTCCCTTTGACTCTGAGTGTACAAGGAAAGCTTCACGGTTCCACTCAGCACTTCCTCCGCACAATGCGGGGATGTGCCCACAACTCCAGTCACTCGGGATGGCAGATGCCAGGAGCTGGAAGGACAAGAGTATACTTACCTCCTGGGTGGTAAAAACTCTATAGAGCTCCTCTGGTGATGTCAGGAAGGTTTCTCTAAGGGTGATCTTACAAGTGGGGATTTTGACACCAACAGGTCTTGCCTGGGTTTTTGAAGGAGCAGACTTAGCCTGTGGAAGTGGCAGTGAAATTGTCAGTTTAGAGTAATGGTGAAACCTCAATTAACAGGGCTTCAGGGATAGCCCTGCTATTCATTCTCACAAACTTTTTCACCTCCAAGGCTAATTATTCCAGGGAGTTAGAGGAAATTTATGTGCACGGGCATTTCAGTCAGAAGGAGAACTTTCCCAGCAAATCCTCAATGCCACTCTAGGTGAAAGAAAGTGACGCTCATTTAAAAGCCCATTGCTGAAGGGCACACCAAATCATAAGGTATTTCTGAAGAGCCCCAGGTGATTCTCAAGCAGAATTTCTATGCTTAAATAGCTGGAAGCAGCACCCCCAGAATATCCTCCAGTGTGCTGACAAAAGGGCAACAGGGCTGAAAACCAAGTGCTGAACCCAAACCACACCAGTGCCATCTCCAGAAAAAATATTTGCTCACCCTGCAAATGGAGTGAAATCGATCAGTCTCCTGTTAGGTGAAGTTAGTGATCTACGTAACCCCTGACACCTTGATGACACCTTTAGTATCAAAGTATGAAATGTAGACATAATACTTAAGATGCATATAGGTGAAGACCACCCTGCGTTCATAACCTCCTCACTGGGGTTAAACACAACAGTCGGACTCTGAAGTCCCTGATGGCTTCCATTTGCTCTAAGGGGTCTGTTATAAATGAATAAACACCAGGTTAAAGATGGGGAGACAGACAACTACACTCTGTGGACTCTCTACAAAGCACCAGCTCTGGCTCAGAGGT